CAGTAGGCACAGGAGAGCGGCACAGTACGGGGGATCTGGAAGCGAAGGAGATGCAACAAGAACAAAAACAGCAACAGCAGCAGCAGCAGCAGCAGCAGCAGCAGCAATCGTTTTTGCTGCTGAGAGCTGAAGAGGTGGCTGCACTGGGATCGGACCTCATCGACTTTCTGTTGGCGTGCAGACATATGGGTAAGCCGCATATCAGCAAGTGAGGCCTTTGCTGCTGATGTCACAGCAACCACAACCGCAGCACTGCAGCAGCAGCAGCAGTAGCAGCTGCTACTGCTGCTGTTGCTGCAGTCAACTGAATCTCTTTTGGTTCTGTTTTGGGGTGAATTTGGTGTTTGGCTGCTTGCCCGTATGTGCAAACGATCACGCTTGCTTCTATCTGTGAGTAGACTTGGCTCCCTGTTGCCTCTGCAGGTGCTGCTGCTGCTACTGCTGCTACTGCTACTGCTGCTGCTGCTACTGCTGCTGCTGCTGCTGCGCTGTCTGTGTGCTGCAGGCGCCCTGGAATTTCTACACGACGCCCTGGCTTCTCTGTGCTTCAAAATAAGCAATTCCAAGGGGCCTGCGCTGCAGTGCCTAACTCGCCAGTGGGCAGACGCAGTGTTGTTGCTGCTGTTACCTAGTGCTGCAGCAACTAGAACAGAAGCCCAGCAAGAACAGCAGCAATCCTTGCACACAGGTGTGCAGCAGCAGCAGCAGCAGCAGCAGCGACGACAGCAGCAGAAAGCAGCAGCTCTTCTAGCTGCTCTTGGGATGCCTCTTCGACTCCGCCGAGGCGCCACCGGCCCCCCGCCCCCCCTCCGNCTCTTCTAGCTGCTCTTGGGATGCCTCTTCGACTCCGCCGAGGCGCCACCGGCCCCCCGCCCCCCCTCCGCAAGAGCAAAAGTCTGGGGTTTGTGTTTAGTGCTTTGCTAGGAAGTAAGTCAACTAGTGCATCACTAGGGGCTGCTGTGCCTGCATGCTGCGGCCAGTACAGGGCTAAGAGAGATACATAAACAGATAGACAGAGGAGACAGAAGAAAATATACTAAAGGAGACAGTCGCAAGGAGACAGATACACGAGGCGGCCAAAGAAAGCAGCCAAAGCAGACAATAATAATATGCTTAGGGCCACAAACAAACAGAAAATAAATAACACAGAAAATAAGAAAGACAAACACAAACACATGTTGCGCTTGGGGTCCCCTCCAGGTCCCTACACAGCTTTTGTGCACAGCTGTCTCCATTGTTGCTGCGTGTGCTGTTGCTGCTGCTGCCTGTGCTGCCGCTGCTGCTGTTTCCTGCGCTGCTGCTGCTGTTGCTACCTGTGCTGCTGCTGCTGCTGCTGCTGCCTGTACCTGTTTTTGCTGCTCAAAGTTCGTGAGGGCCCAAAGGGAGGGGCTCTGGACTTTCGTTTGCTGCTGCACGTTGTCTCCTGTCTTCTGCCGTTGGCTGCTGGCCGCCTGCGGCCTTTCTTTGCGGTTGCTTCAGAAGGTAAACGGCTTTCTAAACCCTAAACCCTAAACCCTAAACCCTAA